GGTAAAGACCGACACCTAGTGATGCAATGCTCTAGTCACAGTTTCAGCGACATTTCTGTATGAGCATTAAGGCGAGATGTCTTACCAGAGGATCGCAGTTCCCGTACGGTGTGAACGCGTTGCCCACGTTATTAACGGCAATGGCAGCATTGAACCCGTACTCGTTGATGAGTTCAACGACCGGCAGAGTCCCGCGCACATTCTCTGGTGTTCGCATCATGAACAGGTCGGAAGTCGGCAGGCCTACGAAAGAAATTGGCAGGTCGCCTACTTCCTGTCTTAGATGCGTCCACTCGTCGTTCCGGAATCTCGTCAATCTAGTGCAATGTCCTAGCGTAATTTGCCTGTCTCCCGCCTTTTCGTTCCATTTGAGCTCTTTGAATATGTCCAGGGTATCCCAGACCAGTGGCTTCTTGTCTTCTTCCAGGAAGTAGTCAAGATGGAGATCTAGATGCTTCTGGTATTTGAGTGCTAACTGCGTGATCCATTTCACGTTATCCTTGGACTTTTGTTCATCATCCTCGACATACGGCGTGCTTCCAAGCACATCCACTTTCTCATACGAGGCAGCGCTAGTCATCAGCTTCCTCACTTCCTCGCCCCCGTCTTGACCAGTAAATAGCGGGAGCTGGGCGAACGCGCAGATTTGCACTTCGCATCGGTCCTTGAACATTCCTTTTAACTTGACGCCCGCATTCAAACATTTCATCTGAACTACCCCATCCACTTCTACAAATGCCCGCATAGCAGTCACACCGTGATGGATGCTCTCTTCGATGAGACGCGCGCCCCTCCTGAGGAGATCATCTTCCTCAAACCTTGACTTGGCCTCACCCGTCATTGACATGGCCTCCGTGAAGTCGCCGCTCTCGATCTGTAAGTCGCTGAATTTGGAATCTTGCAGGAGGAAGCACTTGTCAAGGTGGATGTGGGCATGACAAAGCGATGGCGCTATGAGACGATTGCCTCCATCTAGCGTGTCTTCACTGCGCCCGTCCGAGTCCTTGACATGGCTGTCCACCGAAGCAATTCTCCCATCGTTGATCGTGATGTCCCAGAGTGTCGACGACGGTTTATCCGGTATACGCACGTTGGTAATTCTTCTGAGAGGTTCCCTTGACGCTTGGTCCTCCATGCTTTCCTTCTCTTCACTCACGTCAAAGACTAGAGTGCTGGGTATCGACTGGTATTGCCTGTCAGGGGCAGATGGGGGAAAAAGAAAGGAAGAACGAGAACAGGGGACAGCGATAATGACGCTTAGATAAACTTGGAGGATACTAGATCGCTTCACTGAACGAGCGTCAACGAGTGCCAAGACGGATGCTGAAGCAGTGAATGAGACGGGGCCCCAATAGCAGCGAGAAGCACCTCTTGAAGGCTGCTATTTTACATCACACGCGGGTCTCTGATGTCGATGAGGCTGGGAATAGATGGAAAAGCTTGTGCAGTCGAGGGCTGGGTGGGGGTGATGCCCCGCATGGCCTATAGGGGGAGCTAGAGTATCCGTGCATGCACGTAGTCGTACCTAACCTCGACGCGTCTCGAAGAAGTTACCATCCTGTCCACCTTCCATCTCCACTGACGCGCTTTCATCGCGAACTTCGCTGCCGTTCATTTTCGCACACTTTGCACCATGCAACCGAACTATCAGGCACGGGGATATAATTATCCGCAACAGCACAATGCAGCTACGCCATCCCGGCGACCAGGTAAGTACCCATTGCCAACCACAGCTTCCCCAACACGCCCCATCGCAACGACCGCCTGCGCATACCTTCCGTAAAAGACGATGATTAGTAGGAACGACCTCGCTCACTTGTTTCGCAACCCAGGCCCCATTGTCCACGCTCCGCACCCGGCTGCGCAACCGCAGTACAACAACGCCAACATGCAGGCTTCGCAGCGCGCCGAAGCTGAACGCCGCGAGAAGATGCGCCGAATCGCGAAGAACCCGACCGACAAGAACATTCCCGAGGGCGTAGAAGACGTGTGCATCGGCGATGCCGTAGCCCGCTACAAGGAATTGCGCGAAGTCGAGCGCACGCTGGATGCGACCATGATGCGCAAGAAGCTGGATGTCATGGACTCAAAACACCATTCGCGCGCATCGCGCTACGGCACCATGCGCATATGGATATCAAACACCGCCGAGAACCAGCCTTGGCAGAGCACCGGCCTCGACGCAGACGCTTTCGATTTTGACGGCGAGAACAACGCGACATACCGCGTGAAGATCCAAGGCCGCCTGCTCGACGAAGACGGCGACGAAGGCCTCGAGGAGGACGAGGACGAGGAGAAGGACGCCGATGCTATGTATGTCGACCTTTTACTTGCGCCGGCGCCAGTTCGAGCGCCTGCCGTTCGCGTTTCCACACCCTACAGCGAGACTGACTAGCATCTAGGGACGAAGACGGAGCTGAGAAGAAGCCAGCCGCAAAGCCCAAGCAATTTTCGCACTACTTCACGTCCATCAACATCGATTTCGACCGCGCCAAGAGCTTACAACCCGACAATTTCACGCAAATCGAATGGAAGCGACCCGAGAACCCCACTGCGAAGGAGGCCAACTTCAGCGAACTCGAGTTCGAGCGCAAGGGCGACGAGAACATCAACATCACGATCAACCTACAGCGGTACCAAAACCCCGAAGTCTTTCGCCTGAGCAAACCCCTCGCCGAGCTGCTTGACACGGATGAGGAGGATCGCGCTGGTGTCCTCATGGGCATCTGGGAATACGCGAGGTCGCAACACCTACAACAAGAAGACGATGAGCGCAAGTTTGCGTGCGATGCGAGGCTGAAGGCCCTGTTCGGTGGCCAGGACCACTTCTTCTTCCCGAATCTGCCCCAACTCATCAAGCAACACCTCACAACTCTCCCACCAATCCAACTACAATACACGATCCGTGTGGACAAGGATTACATCTCGCCCGCTGCCGACTCCGGCAAGACCCCCTCCGAACCGACCGTATACGACGTCCAGGTAGCACTCGAGGACCCGATGCAGCCGCTGTTCCAAGACATCCTCCGCCGACCAGATAGCATACAAACCCTGCAAGAGATTCAGAAGATCGATGAGCAGCTTGTGCTGTTGATGGGTGCTATTGGTCAGTCGAAGGCGAAACACGCCTTCTTCACAAGCATGTCCAAGGACCCTGTGGCCTTCTTCAAGCGCTGGCTGTCCAGCCAGAAGCGCGACCTCGAAGTGCTACTCGGCGAGGCTACACGAGGTGGCGGCGAAGACGTGTCTGGCGAGGAATGGCGACGAGGAGGAGCCGATGGTGTATGGGGCAGTGAAGTCGCAAAGGAGAGCGTGGCCTTGTGGCTCGCCAGGTCCAGCATCAAGCCTCATTAGGTAGAGGCCTTGGAAACTCAGGACTTGGAAACCGAGGCCTTGAAAAACTAGGAGCTTGATTCCTTGCTGCTTTATTGGTTTTCTTGTTAGGTCGTAGGAGTTTACGCTCGTGTTATGGAGAGCCGGGTGAAAAGACGGCGTTCATATTCGATACCCAACGATTAGTTCCTTCCCCAGCTTGAACAAGCGATGTGACATGACGCAATGTGGTTTAGTTTTGGCCGGAAGCAGCTACTGGGTTAGTCATCGATCTCCCTGTGCACCTTCCAGATGCCACAGTGATGTTCTGTCACTGGTACCTCTGAAGCACACCACAACTCAGCACCCTCATATAGTGCTGCCCATGTGTGCGTTTAGCACCGTCGATATACTGCTGCCAGTTCACAGCATGGTGTCACCCGCTCAGTTGCGGTTTTCCCTCCTGTCAAATGCGAAACCGGAAGGCAAATTGCATGACAATAGATATTGGCGGCTTTGTCGAAGCAGATCGGAGGCATGCGCGCCCGCTGGAGCCCATGTTGAGATACTGCGAGGCTGAAGTACGGCGATATTCGAATTGTCCAATGAGAAGCCTCCAGCTCTTCTCAGCCTTGTGCCATGCCACATGCAGACCTCTTCACATCACCTCAATCACACCACAGAATTATCCTGCAGACCGCATCTTCCAGGCCGTCCACTTTGGGTGCATGATTGGGTCGCCTGGCCACCGGTGCCAAGGGAAATCAGTATGCCGCCGATTGTGTGCACTGCTTTGCGCTAGAAGTCCCAGTTCCTTGTCCGCATAGTATTATTATAAGTCCGATTACTCTACCATCATAATTTGAAGTACTTCCGATTTCGAAGCAGGCGACAATGCTTCGACACCCTAAACTCGTGGCTCTCACAATAGTCAACTTCATCTTGTTCGTAAGCATCGCATTGGCTGTATATAGCATCATTTCTTCTTTACGGAGTTGTTCTAAACGGGAAGCGTCTCCCTTCTATATTATTTTCGTTGTCGTGTTATTATTCGTTGTCGTGCTTTTATTCGTGGTAGTAATTGTTCTTGCTGCATGTATTGGTCTTAAACGACGGGAAGCTTATCAAAGACGACGAGCCAAGTCCCGCGAGATATCCCCAGAATCTGAACGAGCTCTCGATGTGCCACGCACACAGCCCAGAAAAAGAATCATCTTGAGTCCAAAGCAAGTCCTGGGGCTGGACGACGAAGCATATCTAAGCGGATTACCAGATCATGAACGTAAGTCCTACAGCGCACAAATTCCACTCTAGCAGTATTGACAGCAACATTTCTAGTGCGTAATAACGCATCACACGTCACTGTCTTCCCTATTAATGGATTCACTCGGTATGATCACAAGATTCCAGGCCTTCACAGAGAGCAAGGGGTCAATCCTTGGGACGTCGAATACCAACCTAATCCCGTAATATTCTCTCATCTAAAGCCATCCTCTTCAACGCTACAGCCCCTGCTATCTGAATACTCCGAATCGAGCTATGAGAGGTCATCGAGTGATAGCGAGACCGTTTGGACTCCTTCGCTCGTAGAGTCTTCTTCGTCGTCGAGTAACAACACCATCAACCTAAGCATACTCTCAGACTCTGGATCGAGCCGAACATCATACGATAGTCGATCCATCGATTTCATGCCGAAAAAGCCGGACGATGCTTCATACGAGTAAGTCAAGTTCCTAGACCCGCTGCGATTGAGCTAAAGTAAGCAGGCAAGCGCCACACGACCTTTCGTGGAAGGCTGACGATGGCCCTAGGATACCAAATCCAAACCACACACTATACGGAAACGAAAATGATATCCTCCAGGTCCTTACGGTCTCAAGCCCTGCAGTGTCTTTGTCATATGTGAATGACGAATATACAAATCTTGAAGAGGCCTCGTCGTACATGGTACACAGCAAGTCATCTACGACTGCGCCTCCACCTGTACCTGTTACCTCGTCAACCGCCTCCGCACCAACACCAAGCACCATCGAAGATGAGACAAGGCTACTATACGCATGTCCAGACTGCCCCAAGATCCTCCGTACACCGGGTCTACTGAGGTACACCTACTCTCCCACCCTTCAACATATCCCCTGACTTCCCCTTAGAAACCATTACAACCGTACACACAACCTCCGCTACACATGCAACCTATGCAACGGCATCTCCTTCGGCCTAGCAGCAGACCTAAAGCGTCATAAGAAACATGTGCATCAGCAAGGCATAGAGGACGACGAGATATACCGCTGTACTATCCCAGGCTGCTCAACACCTAACAAGATCTTCAGACGGAAAGACAACTTCAACAGACACATCAAGCGGTGTCGTAAACGGATTGGGAAGGGAAAGGGTAAAGAGCGTGTCGAACCTGGAGTCAAAGAAGAACAAGGTCCGAGGGAAGCGCATATGAAGGGTAGGAATATGGGTATTTAACGTTTAGCGCACAATTATCGAATACAACATCCATCCCCAGCATAACCTCCACTCATAAGATCTCATAGCGGCGAAGCAGCGGCGGCACATAGCGTTGCCCATAGCCCATGCATTCAGCATCCCGACGTCTCTATACCCACACATCCAAATGTACAACAGCGCGACCTTTCTCTTCAGGGAGAGGAGAAGGTCGACGCCTCATCTGTCCCTTCTCTTCTCTCGCCTTCCTCAATCTATACCCTAATCTCGTTCTTCATTCGTTGTGCTTACGGGGCAACAGCTACCCCATGTGTCCCCGCGGTCTCTCTGGTGGTGAAAAATAACAAATGCCTACAACGCCCGTTTCGCGCACACCTCTTTTTTCTCAGGGTGGTGGAACTATGCAACTTCGATGCGGTCGGATAAGGAGAGGAAGCGACAACCATGATGTTCGAAGCGTCGTCGCTGAAGATGTACGAGGGACTGGCATGTATGAAGTCCAAGACAACACGCCAGAAAACGCCGGGCAGCAGAGAAGAAATCGGCCTCGGAAAAGAAAGTCTCCTGGGAAGACATCATCTACGGCAAGGGAACTCGTTGGAAGAAAGGGCGTTTTGTGTGGGCGTGACGTGAAAGAAGGCAGGTGGGCGGAAAAAGGTGAGGAAAGGAGAGCAGGCATCTCAAGTATTGCTGATGATGACTCTGGCGCCTTCTTTACCCAGCACACCCCTCTCTTTCGCCTTGGGACTCCTGTCCCGGCCCTTCTTGCGACTGAGGAAGCCGAGCATTCCGGAGGGTTTCTCAGCTTGGGCATCTTTCTGTACGAGGGCGGAACTTTGGTTAGCCATCTCAGTCCAAGAACCGGTCTCGTTGAGAACTACCTGTACGCCTCCGCTGGTGCTGATGCTGCGTTGCGAGCCTCGCTGGCGGTTGTTCATCGGGCGGGAGAAGGAGGGAGTTGGAACTTCGGAGCCGTCGTTGGGGAAGTAGTCGACGTGCTCGCCGCGTTGCGAGGTGGGTGAGCCGGTGTTGGCGGTCTGGTTCAGTATGTTGGTTGCAAGGGGAGGGCTGCCGTTGGGTGATTGCGTCGATCGGCCAGTAGCGGCGGAACGTGTGGGATGGAGTTCTGCGTCCTGGGGATTATTCGCAACTGGGCGACCCCAGGGATCTACTGACGGTGTGGGAGGTTGGTCTGGTGCGCTTTGGTTGCTCGTCCTTGAGCCGCCGACGGAATCTTGAGGATCTACGACTGCGACGGCGGCAGGCGTTCGTTGGTCACCAGCGGTGGTGTAGTTGAAGGGCTCGAAGAGGGTCTCAATCATCCTGTGCAGCTCTTCAGCCCTGATCTCCTGCTCGGTCGCATCGTCCTTGAGCGCCTCTCTAGGCTTCTGTCTCCGCGCTCTTGCCTCAAGCGGTGCTTCTTCCAACAACAGCTCCTCTAGGTCGTAGGTGGCATCGAAGTTGGTCTTGTCGCTCGACGGGATAAAGACGGGCGGGATCTCTTTGCGCTCTAACGCGATGAAATCGATGGGACGGAAGAAGGGGTTGTCTGTGAAGGACTCGAATCCGATGGCGCCTATGCGCTTTGTCCTGTTCTTCTCCAAAAGCGAGCTGATGGCATGTAGACAGGGCATGGATACGGGCGGACTGGTAACGGGGTATGTGGGCTCTCCCTTGGAGATCTTGGCGGCGAGAGAGTCGTGGCTGCTAGCCTCGAAGGGTCGCTTGTTGTAGATGCACTCGTAGAAGAGCACGCCCAGTGACCACCAGTCGACTTCGCATGAGTATCCCTTGCCTTCGTAGACCTCGGGCGCAAGATAGGCGAGCGTGCCGGACTTGCTCGTCAGCGGCTTGGTGGGGACAAAGTCGGAAGCGACGTTCTGGGCATGTTAGTGATGGCCGGAGACATGATGAGGACCGAGCTTACGAAATCTGCCAGATGGACATGACCTTCGGAATCCAACAGCACGTTGTCTGGCTTGATATCCCTGTGTACGATGCCCTGCTGGTGGATGTAGCGCACAGCGCAGCCTAGCTGGGCTATCCAGAAGCGCACAGCCTCCTCTGTAAATGTCTTTCGCGAGATGTGGAAGCGCAGGTCACCGCCATTCATTAGATCGACCACGATATATCTGCCCTTGTCAGCCGCGTGCTAACTCATCACCGGGAGGTATGACGTACAGGTATTCGATGTCCTGGAAACTGTAGCGCAAGTTGCAGAGGAAGGGGTGGTTCAGGTGTTCGAGCATGCGCCGCTCGCGAATGATGTTGCGGACGCTTTCCGAGCGTACGACTGTGGCACGACGTCAGCTCGAGTAGTGCTGGGATGATGCACAGGGCATGGAGACGAACCTTCATCTTTGCGTATGTACTTGAGCGCAAAGGTGAGACCCGTGTCTTTGCGCTCGACAATGCGCACCTTGCCGAATGCGCCCTTGCCGACGACTCGAAGCAGCCGGAAGTGGTTGAGGTTTACTGATGGTGTTAGTCTGATGCCCTTCTCTTCACCACGCATCTTATCATGCGACTCTTATCTAGGACGCACCTTGGTCGGTAAAGACGACGGGCTTGCCGTTGCTCTGACCCATTGGATGCTTCTATGGCAGACTGCCTGGAGAATGGGAATGCGTGTCTAGTAATGCATCAGGCGACTGGGAAAGCTGGCCGGGGGGATCGGGTGGGGACGGGGCCGTGGTTGCGGGCGGCGGTGAGGGATGGCAGGCTTGGGCGGGCGGGTAGTCGGGGATTATTAAGGCAGAAGCAACAGGTGTCGGACTCGTGATGGCAGTGAGCAGCACGTCGAAAGGAGGGCCCGACAGGATTGAAGAGGCACGTTTCGCAGGCGTGGCCCTTAGCGTCGGCAGGAACTAGCATGGGTAACACGTTTGAGTCGCATCCTTGCTTTCACACGAGTGGCTATCAAAGGCGACCGAACCCCCCCAGAGCTAAGCGTCGACGCTCCCTAGAGTCATGGCCTGCCAGCCACACCACAACGCCTGGCCGCACGATAATCGAGCGCCATGGCATGTCTAGATTTAGGGTTGGCCTTATTGGGGTACAGCTGCAGCACGCAACAGTCCCCCCGTCTGCCATGTGCAGTCCACCGGTCTCCCACGCGGAGCTGTCACGGGACGGGCACTCTATCTGAGCCCAAGGTTTCCGGGGTGGAGCGAGACGGACGTCGTCGTCTTGCTCTGCTCCCGTCTGATCTGCACTACCTAGCTAAGCTCGGACATGTGCTGAAACACATCTTCAACCACAAGGACGCTGCGCAGTCATAGCACGCGATGCATTTGTCCGGCGTTCGTGACAATTTCCTTCTGCAACCATCTCGTCGACGCTGGCAGCAAACGGCCCTCTCGCCGATGTTAGCCTGTCTACAGCCTTCATCGTCGTTGACAGACCCCAGAGAGCCCTCGCGGAGCCGGCGCCGATTGGCGTCTCCTAGTTTCTTCTTTCTAGACCCGCTTTCTTCTACTAGGTAACAACGTAGAACCGTGCCACGGGCGACCACCTCTGCCTCCAGCCAGCTGCGGGTACTCAAGCCGCCGAGTCCACTCCACGTCAAGCGGAATTGCTTTGGCATCCTTCGCGCAGCCTCGACGAAAAGTCCAAGAGAACAAATAGTCGCCAAGATGATCAGATATGTGCACCCTAGCAATGCAGGCGGGGAGAGCAGGAGCCAGTGCTCACATGCAGACCTCGACGAAGAGCGGCGGCGCATGGTATAAACTTTCAAATCTCTCCTCTTTGCCCTAGGCGTAATAGTCTTGGCGGCCCCTCGCGCCTTCTCCGGGACTAACTTTCACTTCTCACTTCTCGCGACGAACACCACGGCCTCATTGTCATGGCATTCTTGTTCTCGGGACCTTCTGAGTCGACATGCATAAATCCCTGTCCACCACCGCTCCGGCCCGAACAGTTCCTCCCACTGACATAATGTTGCACGACACCTCATCAACCGTGGGCACAGACAACAGACCCTTTCGCGGATGCACTCCGCTGCAGTTGCACGTGTCTGTTCGCGTGCGCGAAGGGACAAAGTTTCGGCTGACTACACCCACACCAGGCTAAACAAGTCGCGTTCTAGAAGACTTCCGCTTCCTCCGAACGTGCAGCAGTGTGGACACAACCACGCGGCTACTGCGTGCTTCATGCAGCCAGGTGGGTTTCTTCAGCCTCGTCAGTCCCTATTGCTGCAGTGCGCCCACCCTAGTGCTGTCTCCAAATCACCTTTGGATCCGGCTACAGTTGTGGCTCATTTCCCTAGACGCATACACCTCGTGTCGGTACCTTAATGCCAGGGCAACCCTTCGAACGCCCATCCTGCTTGCATGCGGCACAGCAAACTCCTGACGCAGCCCCCTATGCGTTGGCAGCCAATCTTCGAGCAACGGTATTCTACCCACAGCTTCCCCGTTCCCAAGGCCTTGTTGCTGGTTTCGCACCCGCGAAGCAGTCCAATGTCTGTCCAGTCAGTGGTGTTACGGCTATCGATCGCTGCTATCCAGTGTCTTGGGATCCAGCCCTACAGAAATGCGCTCGGGCGGCACAACCAACTCGAATACCACGAACATCAGGATCACGATGAGCTACCTCCTCTGCGACTCTCGCTTAATACAAGGATCCATTAATCTGCAACAGGCGGGCGTCAAGAGCCCCTTGGTGGTCCTCCGTTGCCTTCATTGGCTGGACCTACATCCCGCAATGCTGACTACCGAATGCATCACATCCGGAAACTCCAGTCTCGTACTAGCGCTATTATGCATCTGAGGACCACCCACAGGATGTGAAGCACTTATCTTCGACATTCCAGCTGAGCTCGCCCTGCGAGCAGTGCTTTTGCCTATTCTTAGCGCCATCGGGACCAGAGCCTGTTTGCACAGACTACATATAAGAGTGTGTGGCGTTTGAATAACGTCCTGCGCAGAGCGGTCCTGCAATGCCTCGACTCATGCTGCGGAGAAGATGCTGGAAGCCTTCTCTCCAGAACCAAATTGGGGGAGTCGATTATGTCGCCA